ATACTGTACACAGTAACTCCCCTAATACCAGACAGACAATTGTGGTTTATGTGGTGGTTGTGTTAGATGTGTGATTTTTGCTTACTTATGATATATCCAAAAGAACACAGAAGTGGGATTTTTATCCTGTGTGACCACAGCAATGGCATTTTTTTTTCTCCAAGGACTCAGTATCTCCAACCAAAAAATGAAGACATTAGTCTATTAGTTTTCTAATATCCTGTGAATCTATGATTATAGTCAAATTGATCCATTTAAGAATTTTCTTCTGTGGATGAGGAAAATGTGTTAATTAGTGAAAAGACAACCTTGACTCAGATATTATAATATGTATATTACCAACAAATGTTGGGTTGGAAACAGCGTGATGGTAGCTGTCGTGCACTATGCACCCAGAACAGTGCAGCTGTAGTGGTGGCAACACAGGGCTGTTCCAAAAACCGTGAAGCAGAAAACAGAGAAGGCAGCAGAGAAGGCAGCAGGAAGCAGAGAAGTCATGTTTTATAGACAATAAGTACCATTTGTAAAACACAACTTCTTTGTGATCTAAATTTTCCTTCTGTTTAATTACTGGCTTCAACAAGCTACTAATGGGTTTTTCCTGCCATAACTCACTCTGGTTTCCACCTGTTTCTGTGTACATACCACTGAAAATTTTTGGATTGCTCAGTGGAACAACTGCCCTCTTCTTAGTTCTCCTTTGAGCAATAATATTAATATGATAACACTACTAATACTATTGTTTTACATAAAAACAAAAAAAGGAAATTATCTTGAGTCCTCTTTTAATAATTAAATAATATCAACACTATGATTGTTTCTGCCTAAAAACAAAAAAGAAAGAAAGAAAGAAAGACTATTTTGCTAATCAAAGAGCAAATTGGTCGCACAACCAAAATCTGAACTAGCACAATCTTTATAAGACAATGTGATGTAGACATCCTTAAGTATAAAATACATTTTAAAAGTAATGACAAACCCAAAGATGGATCATTGGGAAAACTCCTCTGTAGTAAGCATATCCATTTGCTATGATAGCAAGGGGTGACTTTCACTGACTTAGATTCTCAGTATGTTGTGTGCACTACGGAGGATTCACACAGTAGCATCAGATACCATGAAACCTCACGCAATGTAGTACATGCCAAATAGAAAACAAATGCTTTCCATGTGTTTATTTCATACTTGTCCTTATTGAGACACCCAACCACTTTTGCTAATGTGTCCCAGATTAGTATCCCAGGGAACTAAGGACAAAGCGTTTTTGTCAAAGTTGCTTAATTCTAGAATTCCTGCTCCCTCTTGTTCCCAAAGATTCTGCCAATTTCTCCTGCACCCCAAAGATCTAGTTTTTAAATTTAGTATGCACTACTTGTGAACCTCTCTAAATTTTTCTTTAATTTACTGAATTTAACATTAATCTGAAATTTGTATTTTATTAATATATACCATTAGAATATGCATTCTTGTAAACTACCAAAGAAAAAAAAATCATAAGCCATACATTACACCTTTAGGTATTAATGTAGCACTAATAAACTTCAAGCTAAATTATAATAATTCTTTATATTTCAAAAATATAAAAATTGAATCGTATTTCATGAGCAGTGTTACATGAACACAAACCTACTTATGAATTCCAATTTTACATATATATTTATTTTTGAGACAGAGTCTCACTCTGTTGTCCAGGCTGCAGTGCAGAGTTGCAATCTCCACTCACTGCAGACTCTGCCTCCTGGATTTAAGGGATTCTCCTGCTTCAGCCTCCTGAGTAGCTGGAATTACAGGTGTGTGCCACCACACCTGGCTAATTTTTGTATGTTTAGGAGAGACAGGGTTTCGCCATGTTGGCCAGGCTGGTCTCAAACTCCTGACTTCAAACAGTCCACCTGCCTTGGCCTCCCAAAGTGCTGGGATTACAGGTGTGAGCCACTGCACCCAGCCCAATCTTACATTCTTGCTGTCAGTGTAATGATAGTTAGTTATTTGGTTATTAATAGATTGTGATTAAGGCCATAGGACTTTCGTCTAACAAAATGCTCAAATATGTCCTGGTCAATAAAAATAGTATCTGGGAAAAATACAATTGTAAGGATGATTTTCTTTTTTTTTCTTTTATAATATTTGCTCTAGGTTCCATAATATAGAGGATTTTCAAAGATCAATTATATTTGGAGTAATATCAGTTCAGAGAAAAACAGAAAGGTGGTAGATATTTGGCTTGATGGTTGATAACGGCTGTTTTCCTACATGTTGACAGGTGGAGGGAGCTTGTCCAACTTCTTCACCACTTTATCATGAGCACCTAGAACAGTCTGGCATAGCGAAGGCACTCATATTTGTTGAATGAGTCAATGAGTAGATGAACAAAAGTTATTCTATAAACTAATTTTTAGAGTAACACATCTTTATAATATATAATTTCTGAGTATTAAAGACATTTAATTTATAGATCCTCATAAATACCTAAATAAATATCAAAGGTCTCTAAGACATTAGTCATACACAAAAGAAAAGAAAATAAGAGACTTTCAGGTTGTTGGAAAAAACAGAAATAAAATACAGGTTTTCAAACATCAATATAAAAAATAGGTTTTCATGCCGATACCTGGTTCTGCTGATACAGAGATGCTGGACTGTTGGGTCCAAAGAAATATTTTTTATTAAGGTATTTGTTTTTAATGTATATAGCTTTTGCCTCCCTTTGATTTCGATCTCTGTAAGTTATTGCCCGGAACTGCTCAATATCTGTCCAGCACATAAGATCCATGCTAAAATGAAAACAAAAACAATGTCTAGCTCTTCATATTTATTTCTCTAAATTCTACTAAATACCAGACTGTTGTTTTGATGGAACTTGGAAAGTGGCTACCTTGACTAGTTGCATTAGATCATGCAAATACTGAACCCAATATTGTACCTCTGATCCCTTTCTAGGCCAGTTAGGTTGACTCTATTATACTCCTAATCCTGGCTAAATATATGAATGATTACAAAGGAGTATTGGGATGAGAAAAAAAAAAAAAAAAAAAAAAAAAAACATCTATCACCATATTCGTGGGATCTCAGAGTTTTTTCATTAATTTCATCAATTTCAAAAAAAAAAAATGAGAAAATTCCCACAAATCTCATGTCATTTGACAAAAGGCCAAATTTAGAATAATCCTCATCTTAATGGGTACAAAAAAATTGAATAAGGACCAGGCACGGTGGCTCATGCCAATAATCCCAGCACTTTGGGAGGCCAAGGTGGGCAGACAGGAGGTCAGGAGTTTGAGACCAGCCCTGTCAGCATGGCAAAATCCCATCTCTACTAAAAATACAAAAATTAGCAGGGCATGGTGGTGCATGCCTGTAATCCCAGTTACTGGGGAGGCTGAGGCATAAGAATCACTTGAACCCACGAGACAGAGGCTGCAGTGAGCTGGGATCATGCCACTTCAGCCTGGGCAGCACAGTGAGACCATGTCTCAAAAAAAAAAAAAAAAAAAGAAGAAGAATGAATGAATGAATAACACCTACTGTTTGATAGCACAATAGGATGACTAGTCAATCATAACTTAATTGTCCATTTTAAAATAAAGTATAATTGGATTATTTGTAACTCCAAGGATAAATGCTTGAGGAGATGGATACACCATTCTCCATGATGTGCTTATTTCACACTGCATGCTTGTATCCAAACATCTCATGTACCCCATAAATATATACACCTACTATGTAGCCACAAAAATTTAAGAAATTAACAAATAAAAAATAAATAGATATAAAAATCCCCTTTACAATGAAGAGAAACTATATACAGTGAAATTTGGCTCCAAGATCTAGCCAGTTGCTGTTAACAAGGGAGAGAATTACTAGAAGAAAAATATATTCAACACTTTAGTTTATAGTAGATAAGCATGTTATAAGGTTCCAATATTCTGGGTAAAACTACAATGTTTCACTTATATATCAGTTAATAAAAATTATAAAATACTATAATTTCAATATCTCAATGAAATATAGAAAGTACACATTCCAGAAATAGTAATTAAAATACCAGTCTAGAGAAATGTAAAAGAAAGAAACAGTAGAAAAGAGAAAAAATAAAGCACAGTGGTGGTTTAAGTTAGCCAGTGCTAAAAGTATTAACATTGTGTAACCACTTAAAATGACAATTTGGAAGTAGCTACAATTAAAAGGTACTCCAACTTTAAAAAGTTACCCATACAGATTTCAGATAATCATGTTTGCCCATTTTTATTGACATAGGTAAAATCTATTATAGCACCAAATCACCATTATAATATGTTGAATCGAAACTAGTAACTTAGAAAAATATTTTCACCAAGAAATACATGGTTACATCCCTCACCTTGAAGAATGATTCTCAAGAAACTGACGGAAATGTTCAAACTCCAGTTTGTTGTTAAGCAGATCACTAAACTTAAAATGCTTGTATTCTGCAGGAACATTATCCCAACACTCTGTTCGTTTAGAGACGTTAGAGAGTGACAAAATGCCAGTTCCAATTTCACAAGTGGTGTCCTAGTGAAATAATACTTTTCAGAAAAAAGTCTCTTAAACACAACAAATTTTTTATAATTTTAAATAGAGAAACTGAAAGAAAAATTAACCATTAGGCTAAGGCCATTTAACAATTCAATGGCAGAAATGGGTTAAGATTTTATGTGGTTCAGATTCTAACATATCTAATTCTTTCTGTTTGTTTTCATTCCATTCCCTTCTTTTCATAAATATTTAGTAAACATTCACTATACAAAGCACTTGCTTGCAAAATATTAACTTTATTATATTTTTCTAAGTATAGAAGTAACATGTCTTTTGTAATAAGAAAATAAAAATCATACATAATACTACCATTCAAACATAACCACTATTAACATTTTAAAAATATATCCTTCCAGTCTTCTTTGTATATGTACATGTAGCTTATAAAAAAATGAAGAAAAGTATACAAATTAAAAATAAATTTTTAAAAACCCGAAGATTAGATACTATGATGGTTGCATAGTTCAACAGGTTGAATTTATAAAGAGATTTACAATTATAATATTGAATGTAGTTTTAAAATATGAAGATAGGATTATGTACCTATTTATAGTTTTGTGACCTGGTTCTTTTTCTTAACAGTATATCATAAACATAAGACATTATTTTATAATATAATTTTCAAAAATTATAGAATAATACAAGTTACTTATCTAATAATGTATCCTTCAAATGTAATATAATATGATATGATATAATAATATAAATATCACCTTCACATAAAGTTAATTTTTAGGTAATTTTATGACCTCTGATGTTTTGTGAATAGTTTACAAGCCCTAAAGGGCAAAGAGGAAAAGAGTCTTATTCTTTAAAAGGTCCTTCCTTATATAATTCCTTACATAACTAATTCACTTCTCCATTTGTTTTTGTAAAGCGTCCGTGAGATAAGCTACCAATGTTTTAAAAATTAATTTTCCTTATGTAGAAGGATTGTGGATAGTGTTATAAAGTTAGGTTTGTAGAGTTTACAATACCTTATATCATGCTACCTTTATGGATTTTTATGTGTTCTTTGCAAGATAGTAGTAGTATATCAAATAGAGAACTTCTGGATAAGAATAAAAATTTCAGATAGGTACAAAGAAGGTTTTAAAAAATCACCTGAAACCTTACCACTCAGAGTTAACTACCTTTAATATTTTGGTGAATATCTTTTCAGATATTTCTTTTTATACATTTGAATACATGCAGAAATACATACATAATTTTCCATAAACAGGATCATACCATACCAGTGTTTCTGTTTCAAAAATCTTAATATATCTTAAACATTTTCCAGGTTAATTAACTCATTTTTATGTAGATGTACACATTTAATTTTATAGCTTTATGGATTTATTATGTTTACTTAGCCAATCCAAAAGATGCAATTTTATGAATCAAAATAATAGTTTAATATCCTAGTCAGTCCTAGGATCTCTTTACTGCCTTCCTCAATTCCTTTCCATATTTTTTTCTTTATTGTTTTCCCTATTGCTGTCACACAACAGTTTCTTTTCTGTTTAGAAAACTCAATTTAACCTTTTGTAACCTGACAACAAATAGAAAGAGCAGCTGCCATACAGAAAATAACTGATAACCTTCAAAATAGCTATAACACAGGTGAAGGCTCAAATGTCTGGTCTTAGCCAAGGCAAATGAGTGGCTTGGCTTCCTGTGCTACCTCATCTGCTTGGTTTTTCTGGCTCCCTTGTCAAACATGTCAATAAAATGCAACACCTGTCAAATGCAGCACGCTAGGCAACGGAACAGCAAAAAAATGAAACTGCCTATCCCTTACTCTGTAATATATGATATCCTCAATTTACAATCCCCCCCTGCCCAATACATCAAGTGGTAACCCTCTCCAGGATAAAAAGTTTGTTTTTCTAAGTAGAAAGTTGCCTTACCTCAGCTTTCTTGGAAAATGTCTCTTTATGCAAAGCCTGTAGCTTTCTGAAGTATGTGGAGTCTAACTGTCGAGTTTCTTCCACCAGCTCCACCTAAAAAAAATAAAGCTTGTAACATCAATAGAATGTACAATTTGCTAGTAACAGTGGGCTGAAAAACAAATACAGTTGCCAATAAAGCAAATTATTTTCAAGGCAAAAGCAGGAAGATAACATAGTTCAAAAGATTAGCTACAGCAGGGTCACACTTCAAAAGGATACAATAAAAAATGCATACATTTCTATGTAATGATATAGTGTCACCAAAGATCATTCCTCCTTTCTGGACACCCCATGCAAACTTACAAACAATACAAATATATTGGTCATATTTACAATTTCTGTTCAATATAACAGGGTAATAGTCGTGAAAGCAGATGCCACTAGCTTTAGGAACCAAATAATTCACAGAACAAGAAATGACCGGACTCCATATTGTTATTAGTATGTGAGCAAAGGCTTTAAAGCTGTAGTAGGAGAGGAGGCAGTCAATCATCAAATGAAACCTCATATCAGGTCTCTGTCTTCAGAGTTTGTAATGCACTGTTTCATGTAGTCAGGAGAACGAGACCATTCTCTGTTTCTCTATTGCAGGGAAAAACCAGCTTAGCTGAAGAGCTGCCTGAGAACTTTCTGTATTTAATAGTTAGCTTTGGTAGTCTGCTGGATTATTCTTTTTGGGAAAGTGTCTGCAGAATACGGTCAGCTGGGCTTTTAGAGAAGTCCTCATAGTTCTAGAAGGAAGTTTCTAGAACTAAGAGAGATTTATTTTTCCTCCTATTAAAAACTGCACAATTTGTTCCATGCATTTTATAAGAATCATGACTAATACCAAAACTTTTTGGTTTAGGGAAGTTAGTTATAATTCCAAATCTTTAAAAAAAAAAATTGCATCCTCTATGGCATACTCTGTATTTAAAATAATGACTGGAGAGAATTTTTTAAAACTTCATCAGATTTCCAAATTTTCCTACTGTCCTGTATGCATTTTTATAATAAAAAGGATGCTATGCTAATTTTTCAGGACAAAGAGAAATCTAATTATTTTGGTCATTGAGCTTAGTAAATCACAACAGTTGTTTCAGCCACAATCCAATAAGGTAACTCTATCCAAGATGTTTTGGTATTAATTTTATATGTCGGTCTAAGAAATTGCTGAGGAGATATGAACAAAGAATAGCAATGCAAAGACAGCAGAGTTCCATGTGAAATGGCCTTTGGTACACAGTACATGTGTTAATTTAATATAAAAAGTATACATAGATGGTTTTAATTTGTGATTCAAAATAAATATTTAAATAAATTGCCTCCACATTTTAGTAAATTTAGTGAAAATATTCAAGCACTGAGGCTTAAAATGACCTCTTTCAGGATGACAAAAGATGTGTTGAAACTTGTGTCCAGTTAAGCAGTCTGACCTGATGAACATCTGGTCTTTAAAACAGAAGCAGTGAAGTCAGAGGATCTCCACAATACATAGGAAATGTTTATGTTTTCTATGGGTGTAATATTTACTGAAACTCATCTAACAGAAAATGAAATAGGCTTTTCTGTTAATCAAAATTAAGGCTACTGCTGAAAAATAGCAAGAAGGGCATATTTACTTATTCACAGGAAACCAAAACTCAGATTTCTCTACTCTGACATATTTGTACAGAGAGCAAAAAATGACGTAAAGTCTTTCGTTAGGTGACAATAGGAAAACTGGCAAAAAAAATCAAGTGGATAAATATTTCCCTGCCCAAATTTTGAGGCTAGCCAAATCTTAATTCTAAATCTTTGGTCCACGTGAGACCTGTTTCAGTTTTTCTCTTGTGAGTTAACAATGCTGCTTATCGTCAGCAGTAAACCTGATGATTTTTTTGTAGTAAACCTCAGTGGTTTTGCATTCAATTTATCAGTGGCACAGTACCTTTTTATAAGCAGTTTGGTCTGATTTTACCATCTTTGTCCATGGCTCAAGAAGGAGGAGAAGGATATATTCCTCTGCTGTGTCAAAAAGGTCTTCAAATGGTGGCTGTATTTTCATATAAATTTCTTTTTTCTTTTCCTGTTGGAGTCCAATGTCAAGGGTGGCAGAAGGAGCAACATATGTGGCAAAAAGATACTGAAGAAGAGACAAGAAGGGAGAGGATGTTGGGAGAAGCCACCATGGTTAGCAGACACCTCAGCATAGGCATTTTTTAAAAACTAAGAGAAGGCAAATAAGCCCATGTGATATTTTTCTTGAAAATATGGGTAAAACTACTTAACATGAAGCAATTCATCTATATGAAAGACTTTGTTTTTCCTTTTGTTTTCCAATTTCTTTACCAGTAATTAGTCAATTAGGCAATTTTTCTCAGATGACAAAAATCTGAGGAAGCATTAAATATTTTTATGGTAAATTTGAGTTTATGTGCCTCTTTTTTTCCTTTATGTTCACAACATTTCTAACACATTTGTGTTAGATTCCAAAGTGGTCTGAAATACTTTTTTTGGAAACAAGAGGCAAGAATACACCAGGACTGAAAAGCTGGCTATTAGTCTTCTAGTCTAGAGACTGAACAGACTACCTGCCCTACAAAATTAAGCTGCAGAGTTCTTAAGACTCTTGCTAATTATCCCTTTACACCATTAAGTCTCTCCACCTGGTATCCAATGCTGTGAAAAAAATACAGGAAAAAAATAAGAGTAAATGGAGGCCGGGTACATTGGCTCATGCCTGTACTCCCAGAAACTTGGGAGGCCAAGGCCAGTGGATCATTTGAGGTCAGGAGTTCAAGACCAGCCTGGCCAATATGGTGAAACTCCCATCTCTACTAAAAATATAAAAATTAGCCAAGCGTGGTGGTGCACCCCTGTAATCCCAGCTACTCAGAAGGTTGAGACAGGAGAATCATTTGAACATGGGCGGCAAAGGTTGCAGTGAGCCGAGACTGAGATCATGCCACTGTACTCCAGCCTGGGTGACAAAGTGAAATTCCATCTCAAAAAAAAAAAAGAGTGAATGGAAAGATATACATAGAACCTCCAGCAAACCTGCCACAAAGATCTGTTCCATTCTACTAATTGTCTTGTCTCTCAATAGTTACTTATATCTGAGAAGCAATGTAATAACATTTTGTTTAAAAAATGTTTGCATATTGGATATGTTATAACCTGAACATTTTAAATAGAGTTTTATTAAGAATCTCAAATTAATTTGTACTTTTTGTCAATTTTATTTCACATACTTAGAATTTGAACCTGATAATATCTAGACTCAGAACAGACAGACACAGATATAAATTTGTACGAAACAGCAAGTAATGGTCTTATTTAAAATAATATTTTAAAAGTCTTAAAGGATCCATGTTAATAACATAAGCATTTACCAAGTACTGCATCCACTGCATCTTACACACCTGGCTAGGTGCTATGTATGCAAAGATTAATGAACAAGAGTCAATGCCTGTTCTGAAGAAGCCAATTTGGTGGTGACATGGAGATGAATATCAATGGTTATAATACAGTATGATAAGTGCTATAATAGAGGTATGTATTATAAATAAAATCGTCAATGATTCTTTTAAGCTCATCTCCCATTAATTATCTTTCAA